TCTCAAAAGAAGACAGATGGCCAATAAGTATTTAAAACATGCTTGACATCACTGATTATCAAGGAAGTGCAAATCAAAACCACAATGAAATATCATCCTATCCCAATTAGAATGGCTATTATTAAAAAGAGAAAAAGTAATAGATGTGATGAGGATGCATAGAAAAGGGAACTCTCAAGCATTGTTGGTAGGAATGTAAATTAGTACAGCCACTCTGGAAAATAGTAGGGAAATTTCTCAAAAAACTAATAATAGAACTACCATACAATCCAGCAATCCAACTATTGAGTATTTATCCAAAGGAAAGGAAATCAGTGTATTGAAGGCATATCTGCCTCCTCACGTTTATTGCAGCACTATCACATTCTATGAGGCCAGCATTATTCTGATACCAAAATCTAGAAGAGACACAACAGAAAAAAAGAAAACTTCAGGCCAATATCCTTGGTGAATACACATGCAAAAGTCCTAAACAAAATACTAGCAAATCAAATCCTGCCACTAATCCAACACAATTGAATAGTCTTTATTTCTGAAATGCAAGGTTAGTTTAACATACACAAATCAATAAATGTGATTCATCACATAAACAGAACTAAAAAAAACTACATTATCACCTCAATAGGCATAAAAAATATTTGATGAAATTCAAAATCCCTCCAGGTTAAAAATCCTCAACAAAGTAGGCATTGAAGAAACATACTTCGAAATAGTAACAATCTGTCAAAATAAGAGCCATCTTTGACAAGTCCACAGCCAATATTATATTGAACAAGCAAGAGCTGGAAGCATTCCCTTTGAGAACCAAAACATGACAAAGATGCTCACTCTCACCACTCCTATTTAACACAGTACTGGATATCCTAGCCAGAACATTCAGGCAAGAGAATGAAATAAATGGAATCCAAGTAGGAAGAGTGGAAGTCAAACTCTTTCTTCTCAGACCATATGATGTTTTACCTAGAAAACCCCATGGCCTCTGCTAAAAGCCTCCTCGATTTAATTTTTAAAAAGTCTTCAGCAAAGTTTCAGGATATGAAATCGATGTACAAGAATCAGTAGCATTCTATAAACCGAAAACGTCCAAGCTGAAAGCAAAATCACGAATGCTATCCCATTCATTATAGCCACACAAAAATGTTATCTAGGAACAGCTAACCAGGGAGGTGAAAGATACCTAAAATAAGAGTTACAAAACACAGCTGAAAGAAATCATAGACCACGTGAACAAACAGAAAGACATTTCATGCTCATAGATTGGAAGAATCAATGTCATCAAAATGTCCATACTTCCCAAAAAATCTACAGATTCAACACTATTCCTATCAAATTATCAGTGTCGTTTTTCACAGAATTAGTAGAAACCATCCTAAAATTCATATGGAACCAGAAAAGAGCCTGAATAGCCAAAGTAATCCTTAGCAAAAGAAAGAACAAAACTGGAAACATCACATTACCCAGTACCCTGTTGTTCCGCCTCCAGCCACAGTCTAACTGCAACTGCATTAGAGTCCCAGCCAGAACTGCCCAGCTCAGCACTTCCCAAATTCCTGACCCAGAGAAACCATGAGCAATAATAAAAATGGTTGCTGTTGTCTTAAGCCACTAAGCTTTGGGGCAATTTATTATGCAGCAATAGGGGGCCAGAATACCTGTGTTACACTCCTAGCTTCCATTTTGCTGTAATTTATGCCTTGAGTAAGTGATGCTGTCCCTGTTGATTCTACATTTTTCATTATTAAATGAGGAGCATAAGCTAGATTAGTATTAGTATTTTCTAAACTGTGGTTAACATAGAAGGTCATGATAGGCAGTACACAGATGGTCTTTTAAATTGTTATACATGTAATGTTATTTTAATTTGTAACAGGAACAAATATCGCCTGCACATATAGATGTATAGCTTATTTCAGCCTTTCAGCCTGAAAGCCACACTTTTTTCCAGGAGCAATACAAAGCTATTGAAGCATGTTTGACAAGTGGAGAAAGCTCTTTATTTATACTTCAACAAATCATTCTGGCAACCCATCAGATGGGTGCTTCTTAAACTTTGCTGTGGTAGAATTGCCTGGAAATCTTGGGAAAAAAATGCAGATTCAAATTCAGTCAGCCTAGGGTGGATCCTGAGAATAAGCACAATTTCAGACAATGTTGGTTCACACTTTGAGTAGCAAGGACATAGATAATTAATTGCCTCGAGAAAAAAAGAGACCAGTTAGAAGGTAGATTGGACCAGAACAGTATTTTTCACACTTTCAAAAAATACATGTTACCGTATGGAGGGATACTTACTCTGCGTGATGAAATCTGATGTTCTTATCCCATTTTATTCATTTATTTTAACAATAAAAGGTATAAAATCACAAGTTAAAAGAAAAGAATAACAAAAAATGAAATTTTTACTTAACAAAATGGAAGCTAGTTTAAAATAATAATGTTTACAATTGGTAAAATATTGGAAAATCAGCATCATCATGCGCTACTGTTGAAATTACTGTTGAAGTTTGGTGAGAAATAGCTTCATGGAAATTAGGGATTCAGTTATCATGTGTTTTTCTTTACGCAAGAAACTCCACTTCCATTAAAGCTACAACTTTAACGATGTTAATAAAAACATTGTCTATAATACTGTATAAGTAGAAACAATACAAAAAAAGATTTTTTTAGAAAGCATATTTATATAATGGAAACTAGGCAATAATTTACAATTTTTCCCTCAATATATGCTTCCTGAGTTGAAAAATACTAAATATAAAGTTGAAATTTAAAAGTGTGTTAATAAACTTGATATAAACCACATTTATACAAAAATATAGCTTTATATGTGCACCAAAATTTTTTCTCCATGCAAATAGCTATCATTACTAGGTTATGAAATTATAGGAGTGTTCTACCTTTTGTGGATGTTTATATCTCCTAATTTATTCCAATGAACATATAATTAATTAATAAAAATATAATTTACTTTTAACTTACAACATATCACTTCTTTTTTTCAAACACTGAATCCTGCTTTACATGCTTCATGGAAGAAGCAAGTGACAAGGGGCCAGAATGTCTGTGTTCCACTCCTAGCTTCCATTTCTCTGTCATTCATACTTTGAATAAGTGATGCTGTCCCTGTTGATTCTACTTTTTTCATCTATTAAATGAGGGGCATGAGCTGGATCAGTATTTTCTAAATTGTGGTTAACATAGAAGGTCATGACAGGCAGTACATAGATGGTCTTTTAAGTTGTTATACATGCAATGTTGTTTTACTTTGTATCAGGAACAAATATAGCCTGCACATCAGATGTATAGTTTATATTAAATATGGTTTCACTGATAGTGTCCATTAAAATAAGAATAATATTTTACATAGTTTTGAAGTCTACTCAACATAAAAGTTAATCTAATATTAAATTAAGTAAATGATAATATAGATGATACAAATACAAGAAACATCATGAATTTACAAGCAGATGGGTAAAATACTGTTGGTCAGAGTACAGCGTGGGGAAAACTTGCCTCTTGGCCTCAGAGCCTGTGCCACAGTGGTCTGTCCCTTTACAATAAAGAACAGAGCAGTGGAAGGGATCTGTGGGCAAACGGGCCTGGAACCAGCAGAGCACAATCTACACTGAGGAATGAAATTTCAATAATAACAAAATGAAATTTAATTTAATATAAATTCAGCTTCATCACATAAGACAGATGGTGTATTACCTTCAGTTCTGTTTGGAGACAGAGGTTATAAAGAAAGTTCTCTCTACATATAAAGACAACACCTTCACTCCCACCTATATGGCTAAGCCTGTGTCAAGGGCCCCAGCTGTAGGTCGTGGTACAGGCTGCAGGTGCTTGGGGACACTGCGCCACAAAGCACAGAAGTGGGTGCCTGGATCTCTGGGATAAGAGGCCAGCATATTCAAAACACTATAAAATTTCTCTTTTCCAAGCACTTCTTTAAAATGTTTGTCTCACTGCTTCTTATGGCTTGATTGAATTAAGGTCAAAGACACAAGTTCTTTTCCAGAACTGCGGGAACCAATGGAAGTTGAAGAACATTCTCTCCTCATAAATACAATTAAGAATCGTGTGCATTCCCTCCTGGATACTCAGGAATGAAGGACTCTGCTCCAGTGTATGGAAGCTGTTCACCCCTGTTTAAACAGAGAAGCACAGACTACCCACTGAGTGGCGCCCATGAAGGACAAATTAAAACTAATGTAGCAGAGAGTTCAGGAACTGACCTGAGATTTGAAACACCCAAACAGGTTTCTGAATAGAAATGAACTGACAACAAAAGATTGTATGATTTTTCGTTTGTGTGTGTGTAAACAGCTTATATATGAAGCAGCTAGAGAAAAACAATATATTACATCATTGGAGGACAAACTTGAATGGCCATGGATTTCTATTCAGAAAGCATGGAGTCCAAAAGACGATGAAATGGCATCTTTAAAGTGGGGTGGGGCAGGGGGAGTGTTGACAGAATTACAGACCCAGTAAAAACTGTCTTCCAGAAATAAAGAGCAAGTTAAAAATATATTTTCAGATAATGAACAAATGAAAAATATGGTTCCCAGCAAATCTACTCTAGAAGAAGTCCTAAAGGAAGTTTTTAAGTTTGAAGGGAATTTCAGATATATCCCCTGGTATCAGAGGAAAAGGCAAATCTTCAGGAACAAAGGAATACCAGAAATGATAAATAGCTGTTAAGTATAAAATACTTCTTATTCTTCTCCTTAAATTGTATAAAGCACATATAATTGTTGAAAGCAAAAATTATAACATTGTATGGTAAAGTTTTCTGTATATTGTGATTTAAAAAAAAAAAAATGAAACAAGGATCTCGCTCTACTGCCTAGACTGGAATACAGTGGCATGATCATAGCTAACTGCAGCCTCGAACTCCTAGGCTCAAGCTATCATACAGTCTCAATCTCCCAAGTAGTTGAGACTACAGATAAATGCCACTGTACCTGGCTAATTTTTTTTATTTCATAGAGATGGGGTCTCACTTTGTTGCCCAGGCTTGTCTCAAACTCCTGAGTTCAAGCAAACCTCCTGCCTCTGCCTCCCAAAGTGTTGGGATTATAAACATGAGCCACTGCGCCAGGCCTGATGAAGTTTTCAATGTATGTAACTAATGTATATGAACAACAATAACAAACTTTAGTGTTGGTCAAGAGACATTGTATAAGATTTTGACATTTCACATAAAGAGGTATGATATTTGCTCACAGAAGACCCTGGATAATTAGGCATGTACGTTGCCATCTCCAGAGCAACTACTCAAAAAGTACAGAGATATAGCCAAAAAGTTCATAATTAAAAGATGAATTTAAAAGTATTTAAATAACCTAAAAGGAGTCAGAAAAAAAAGAACATGGGTGAAACATAAAAACAGTAACGAAATATACTTAAATTCAACCTGCTTGATATTTATATTCAATTTTAATTATCTAAACTTCACAATGCAGAAACACTTTAAAGTCATAGTTTAAAACTAAATAGTTGAAAAAGATACAGCATACATCAGTAAGCATCAGAAACTTTGAGTGGCTATTTAACATTATAAAACAGACTTCAAGGTTGAGTTCTTGAGTCACAGAAAGTCTCAGTATCTCAGGAGGTTTGTGTTCAGCTCCCCTGCAGTCTCAGGCACTGTGTCACTCACAGCACAGAAGTACTCGGCTGCATCTCTCACATGGGCTGAGGATTTCTTCAGGTGGAAAGAGCTTTCACTCTTCTTAATTTCAGCCTCAAAACCTTTGATGCCTTTAACCAGGGTGGGTCCTGATACATACTTCAGGAGAAACTGGAGTCCTTGGTTGGGGTATCGCACGTACCAGAAGGGATACACTGAAACAGACGACGAGTAGGTGCACTTCAGCAGCACAGGGGCTCCTTCAGAGACAGTGACCTGGCCGTCAAGCTGGGTCACAGACTGGGCTCTGGTTCCTCCTGCAACACCAATACTGTGTAAGTAAAAGCAGCACTGACTTCTCTAAGAAAAGATGTGTCTATTTAGAGGCAATTACAACATAGTCACATTTACAAAAGGAGGAAAAGAAATGGAATGCTACTCACCCAGGACAAAAATCACCGCGAGCACTGGGACGAGCAGCAGGAGCATGGCTGAGCAGTGGCAACGCCGCAGGACCCTCAGCAGGGCGGACAGAAGCCAAGAGCACTGAGCCTCGGGAGCTAGGAGCAGTGGGGAGGTTGGACTGGACAAGCCCCTGACTTTGAAAAGTTTCGAAAACGGTTAAAGAAAGGTTTTCTCTTAAAGAGCCTGGATGCTTTCTGGCCTCTTGTTCTCGTCACAGCTCCGTATCTACACAGACAGCAGTGAACTGCATCAGCCAGCTGCAGGAGGGAGGCTCAGTGGATGAGAATGGTCTGCAGTAAACATAAATGCCTCCTTAGTGCAACGTCGCCCCCTGGAGGCCACAGGCGAAACCACGGATCCAAGGAAGTGAATGGTTTGCTTCTCATTTGAGACACGATATTAAAACCAACAGAAAATGTTTCTTTCTTCCCGAATGTGTGATGATGTCACCTTCTGTAGAGTACATGGTTTTAATCCTAGATACATGAGAAATGAGAGTTATTTAAAAATAGAAGAGTAATTTATTTTACTGAGCAATTATTCACAGAAGACAACATTCTTGACTTTGGAATACCATTGAGACAGTCTATATTATTTTGCAAAGTCATTCATCAGGGAGAGGGGATGTGATCAATTGGCCCAGTCGGGGCTGAGTTCATATGCCTTGTGTTTCTGAATGTAAGCATTACAATAAATGAAAAAGATTATTCCTTTATTCAATTATTTTTTTAAAAAAAAGTTAGATCAGAGACTCATATTTAAAGTCAGTGTGGATCACATGTCATTGATTAATTAATCAAGGCAAACAAATAAGGCAAGACTTTTTTTGTTAAACGAAAATGTGAAAGAGGCCCCTTGGTTTCAAGTCAACAACTTTGATATTTGTAACTGTAGGAAAAAACAACTTAGGTACTTCATGTTTAAAAAGAGTCCTGTTCCAATTGTCAATGCTCCTATAGACTGATATGTTATGCCACGTTATGATATATCACACTAAAAAGAACATTAATAGAGGCCCATCTATGGAGAAACTTAAGTGGAATGATAAGTGTAAGAAAATATAGCAAATAAATAATCCTGGGAAGAAATAGGAAAAGAAAAGAAAAATAAACCTGTGTTAACTCAGTAAAGTTGGGAGGAGTGTAACCAGCAGACAAGAAATGAGAGGACCTTGTGGGAGGTATAGAAGATTTGAGAGACATTGACAGGAACACTCAACAGAGCTAGGCAAGCAGCAGTCCCTGTGGGTGGGATACAGGTGGTATTGAACTGGAGCAGTCAACTCTTATAGCCTAATAAGATGAAACTCTTGAATGAGAAGCTGTCTTCATCCAACTTATTTTATCATAGAGATCACTGGATCCTAAAATTGAAAAAACCAAATGAGGAGAGAAATCTCAGGCAAAATGAGAATCTGGCCAACAAGTATTCCTTTCACAAGGTCAGAACAAAGTCTCTTTTTTCTGTGTACTCCACTCCCTCGTGCCAGCCTGGAATCAGTTTTCCCTTGCACTTCTGATCTATTTCTTGATTCTCCCTATAGATTTTTTATGTGTAAGACAAAATTACTTAGCCAGCTTGAAAATTTAAATGTTACTAGGATGTGCTCCTGATTCAAAATTCCTAACTGAGCGTATGTATTATCCTCCTCTCTTTCCAATATTCCCACTGAAATAAAATTTAGAAGTATAAAAATAATTACTTGAATCCATAATGGTAAAAGTAATAATAAAAAGATGAAAGGTATCACAAGTTTTGGCTACTCTTTGCTCACAGTTGCCCCTTTCCCTAGAAAATCAAGCTCTGCCAATGAGAGTCACCATTGTCCAGTAGAGTATACTTAGACCCCAAGAAACACCACAGCCAGTGACGACTTTATTCTTGTGCACAATAGGTAAGCAGTCTGGCCCCCTTGCCTAAGTGTGGAAAGGATCGATCTTGTGATGCAATTCATGTTCCAGAGCTCCCATGAGATCAGGCTGGATAAAGACTCCACTAGCTGGCACATTTATGCTTAGCCTTTTCCCATCTCAACCTGGTTTCCTCAATCAATTATGGATAAAGAATTTCCAATTCAGGCTCTGCTTCTAATGAACTTATCCCAAGACAATATTTCATCTTATTTAACCCTGAGTCCAATCCTGAAATATATATAATAGTATAGCTTAATATAAATGGCCCATTAGGAACATAATTGATATTCAAATGAGCCCAGGTTCTTTCCAGAGTGCCAGGGTGCCTGAAGGCATACGATAAAAGTGGCACTAAAATTCAAGTACTTTGATTTTGATTTCAGTACAACTTTCTGATCATCCTCACTGCCTTACAAACCTTTCTTACATGACTTGGCAATATTTCTTCAAAGTCTTCCATTCTGCAGATTAACAATTTGAAGCAAATGTTGACTGGTTTGCCTCTTTCATTAGTAACTACATAAACTAGCTCAACAGAAATCTCGAGTCTTCATTTCCAAATTTTTTCCATCTCCCATACTACATAAATAATGCCATGACTAACAGACCACAAATTTGGTTTTACAATAAATGTGACTTTTCAAGCTTTTTTCTATAATTCAATATACTAAACAGCATTATTTTCATTAGAAAACAAATATTTTTCCTGGACTTGGCATACCTTGCAGGACAAATCTATAGTGCCAGGTAGTCAGAGGAGGGAGGCCTTTATATGCTCTTTAGCATTTCCAGCTCTCCTGACCAACATTTGCTGAAACCTTCTCAATGCCATATGGTCTTTGGCAACTGATTTTTACAGGTCTTTGCTCATCATACTAAAGCCCCTTGATGTCTGGACTTCTTTTAGATACTTACTCAGAGATCCTCCTCAATAAATTTTAGGTTATTCCATGCTCCCATGCCCTGCCTAGGGATATGGCATGCTATGGTGAGGGCTAATGCTCCCTATCATCTCCAAGACACACTTAAACACATAGGTATCAATATATTATTTTACAAGGCTCAAGCCAGGAGTTTTAAGTTCAATTCAGACTTTACCCTAAAATGGCAATATAGACCCTATCTAACATTTAGTCACTGCAACTATCTAGACTTCTAGTTTTAACCACTTCTGACTGGTTAAAACAAATACTCTGACTCTAGTTCTTCCATCTATCTACCAAATATACCCTTATATAAATCAGGAGTGGTACTGCAGCTGAGGCTGGAGATGAGGTGAGGGTTCTATAACCAAAAGAATTTATGACTTATAGAATTTTCAAAATCATTTGTTCATGACTTTTTCTCCACTTTGCATTTCTGTTTTGCTGTGGCATTCCCAAATCAATGACTGTCAAACATTTTGAGTAACTAAAGAAGGAAAAATGGAAGGTGTCCTGGGAACTATGAGAGAATATCTGTCATTGTGTGAAAATATTTTCTTGACATATAATTAAAAAATCATAAAACCAATCTCATAAAGAAGTGGCATAAAACTAGACTAAACACCAGGATGTATACATTAAATATGTGCACCTTTTGTATAGCAATCATACCTTAAGTTTTACAAAAGGAGAAAGGAAGTAAACTTTTAAAATGATGTTATGGCATAGACTGTGATGTATGTGTAAAGTAAATATGCATACCTTTTTGTTTACCTTTTTTATCAATCAGAGTGGAAACACAAGTCTAAAAGGTATTTCAACCAGAACAAGATTTTTGTTTTCATTTTTTTAGGGTCTCAATTATTTTCAGAATTATGAAAATACTTCCCTAATTAATTAATCCTCCATACTAGAGTACTTTTAATTTCCACTTGAACCTAGAGAACAAAAAGAACTTCACTACCCTGCAGTCTAAGCTCTATATCAGGCATTCCTGGGCCGAGCAGGTTTGGGTACAGACTGCAGGTGTCTGGGGAGCACTGTGTGCTCACTGCACAGAGGTAGGTGGCTGAGTCACTGAGCTGGGAGTCTCTGATGAGCAGGGAAACATACTGGCTGGCTCTACTGAGCTGTGCTGTAAACCTTCCATCTTCTTCATCACCATTGGAGTATATAGACATCAGCAGCTCAGGGCTTTTCCCAGAATATTGCCTGTACCAGTAAAAGGACTGAGAACCACGGTCACTGTAAGTGCAGTTGAGAGAGGCAGTGACTCTCTCTGGGATATTGAGGGGTCCGGAATTCTGCTCCACCTTCTGTTGGCTCCAAACCCCTGTGAAAAAGACAGTGGTCAGACAGAGAAGACCGGCTGGGCAATGAATGCTTACTCCCCAGAATTTAAATCCTCTTTTCACTGGTGCCCCCACTCTCCCTTAGTTAGAAAAAAAAAAAAGTCATGATTCTACCTATAAATGTAGAATATACAATAACTCCAAATACTGTACATTGTTTTCCTATATAGAGATGCCCAAAACTCACAGCTTAACTGAAGCCACAGGATCACTAGTAAAACTGTCAAGGATTTCATCATTCTTTTCTGCCCTGATTCACTGAGTATTTAAATTTTAAATTCTACAAAAAAAAAAATGAACCTAGAATGAATGTTTCTAGTTTTTCTACCTTAAAAATCATAAAAAGAATCTGTTTTACCAGTTAGAAAAAGTGATGCTCTTTTTAACACCCCTAATTCACCACTAAGCCCCTCCCCTTATCTTTCCTCTTCCTCCTCCTTCTTGTCTCTCTCTCTTTCTCTCTCTCTCTCTCTCTCTCTCTCACACACACACACACACACACACACACACACACACACGAGCACTTGAGAGCTTTCCTCAAGGTCCTAAGAATACACTGCCATCTTGTGGAATCATGATAATGATCAAAGGTGTACCTGAAATGAAGAGCCTTATTATGTGAACAGGTGAATTTAAAAATCTGACGTATTAGTTAAATTAAAAATTTGAGAAGCAAATGTTCCAGATCCGTGTCTGTGGGGATGTTTATGTTTGTATGTGTTTGATACCAAATGGCAACTGTTGTATGAGTACGGGCAGTTGTTTCTAACAGTCACTTTCCTACACTGAAATAACAGTCATGAAGTATTCTATTATAAAAATTTCGGCAAGATTCTTTGAATATTTGTAACAAAAATAATATGGATCAATAGCTCTAATGTTGTACCCAAGAGTGACATCAGTGCTAGCAAAATGATAGAATTTATACTACCTCAAAGTTGTACTACAAAAGCTTCTGTGCCTAGTAATGTCTAGATAACATATAAAAAACTCTCCTTCATATGCCTTAAGGACACTGTTATGACAGTCAATCAAAGAGAAATCACAGACCCCTTCCCCAGTGGATTAAGTGGTCTTCATTTTCCACAGCATGAAATTTTCTAGAAATGTCTTGTGGACTTCAAAGTACTGAAAAGCAAGATCTTATTCAAAGGCAACTTATTTTAAGATACTACTGCAAATGCTACTCATTTTATGTCAATTTGAAATATGTAAGTTGTACTATTAAAACAACAAAAGAGATTTTTATACGCATGCAAAAACACAAGTATCTTTACCCATTGTGTTTGCATTAATATATATCTAAAGTTATTGTTTACCATTAGTCTGTTAAATAATTTAGGGGGAAATGGTAGTTATATGAAAACTACAAAAATATTGGCATTATTCTTATTTATGTAACTACCTTCATCATTGTTCATTATTTTTGTATGGCTCCAAGTTATTGTCTAGTGTCATTTCTTTTCTCCCTGAAAGGTTCCCTTTAGATTTTCTTGCAGGGCAAGTCTATAAGTGATGAATAATCTCAGTTTATGTTTATCTGGGACTGCCTTAATTTCTCCTTTGTTTTAGAACAACAGTTTTACCAGATATAAATTGTTGGTTGATAATTTTTTAAACACTTTATGCCATCCTACTGCCTTCTGGCTTCCATGGTTTCTAATTAACAACTGACTGCTAATCTTATTAAGGATCTCTTACATGTAGCTAGCCACTTCTTTCTTGCAGCTTTCAAGATTCTCAATTTGCCTTTTTCTTTAAACAGTTTGATCACAATGTGTCTCACTGTGAATTTTTTTTTTTTTTGCCTTTATTCTACTTAGTGCTTGTTGAATGTCTTGGGTGTGTAGATTCACATCTTCTATCAAATTTGGGGAGTTTGGGGTCATGATGTCACAAATACATTTCCTGAATCTTTCTGTCTCTCCTCCCATTCTGGGAATTCTGTTATACTTATGCCTGTGCTATTGTTAATGTCCCGCAGGTCATCTAAGCTCTTATACACATTTTTTTCATTCTTTTTTCCTTCTGCTTCTTAGACTAAAGAATTTTATTTGGTTTATCTTCACATTTGTAGATTCTTTCTCCTACCTGCTGTTATGTCCCTTTAGCAAACTGTGTTTTAGAAAAAACTTCTCTCTGTAGCCAATTCTCTATCCTGAGGGGATTCTGAGTTGTGTTGAAACACAGAGAAGCCCTTTGAATTAGTCCTTCAATGAGCCACCTGAGAGGTCAAAGTAGTCAAGCACTATTCATTGATAACAAAGTCCACTCTGCTTCTTCCAGCATTAGGAACCCACACTTGGAGTACAGGATGTCATTTAAAGACTGTCTTAAAGCCAGTGATGAGAAGATGGAGCAAAGGTAAGTTAAAAATAACACAAAATTATTCTACCAGGTTGAAATTACTTTTTTATTAACTAAATATGTGTTTGGCAGCTGTAAATCTTTCTGTGGTATTTGGCTGGAGTAAACTGGTTATGACCTTACAGTTTTGTGTCTTGACAGTCCGCTATTTTCCTGGTCTTTTGGCTAAGGAAAGCAAAAGCCTGGTCTTTTGGGCTTTTTTGTACATATCCACTAACATTTCCAGGTCAGTGGCTAGTCCTGGTTGTATGAGGCAAAGGGAAACTCATAAAACTCACTGCTCTAGCATTGCTCAAGTCCTAAATTTCTTAACCAGTTGGGCTTTTTGTCCCCACTTTTTAGAATCTTTTAATTTTTTTATGCACAGATAACAGTGGTTTGAATTACAATTTTTCAATGGTGTGAAAGCAGTACACAATCAGTAGAAACTGTACTTTGTATACCTATACAACTATTCTGTTTATCCCTTTAGGTACAGTATTCAATAAATTACATGAGATATTCAACACTTCATTATAAAATAGGCTTTGTTAGGAATGATTTTGCCCAACCTTAGCCTAATGTAAGTGTTCTGAGCACATCTAATATTGGCTAGGCTAAGTTATGTTGTTCAGCATATTGGATGTATTTAATGTATTTTTTACTTACAGTATTTTCAACTTATAATGCATTTATGGGGACGCAATCCCATTGTAAGTCAAGGAACATCTGTACTATCCAGAATCATTAGCTGTATGTAACAAGATGAATGGGAAAAAGTACACCTTCTCTAACTTTCTAGAAGTGGAAAGCATGGTGCTTCTTTTTTCTCTTAACAGCAACCTTAGAACAACCTGGGAGGTGTACTCTCCTGGTAGCAACATGGTCATAATGGTATTAAAACTGAATTCTGGCTCAGCTACCTGGATTCTTTTGTTGGACAAACATGGTCTTATATTATGAAATTAACTATCATTAATTTGAGTGCTCTGCTCCATGAATTCTTGAACAATGGTCCACGAGGGCCAAGGTGATAAATAAAGTATAAATGTCATGAAAATATATTTTTCCTGTATTTATTGTTCTAGACAAAAGGTTTGAGTATGACTAGGAACTGATCACAAAAAAAGACAGAGCTTTAGCCACCAGAATGGGATGAACAAATTTTGTGAGTGTGGAAAAAAGCAACAACACTGGCACCTAGTAAGGGAAAACCCTGGACCATTGAAGGTGGAGGGGGTGAGGATTAATGCCCTCCTTGTATACTAGATGAAGCACACAGCCTAGCAAGGCAACCGTACAGTTTGGTTGTTTATTGGTTTGTCATCTTCCACTATTCCATGAAAACAGAAAACTCCTGTGAATATGGCTTCTCCTGAACATTTCTGCAACATGAATGGCAGCCTCCCAATACAGATTCCCTATCCTCTTAAGTATGAAAACACAGGAATCAGCACATTTTCTCAATCTGACTCAAACAAATGTGTATTTTTCCCCTGGTGTCTTGGGTTATACCATGAATGGCTACAGAGGTTGCAGATACTCCCTGAAACTGTTCATATAGCTTAACCAAAGTGAACTAATGTTGATCCAAATAAAGTTTAGCAATAAATTTCAAACTGGATTAATCTAGCACCTTTGGTTATGTTTATGTCTGAGAATAGGACCATAGGAGATCTCTATGTTGGGAATAGTAGTTACTTTTTGGCAATTAAAACAAAGATCAGCATGTTAGTCCAAATTTCCATGTGTGGGTCATATTAAATAATATGCTATATCCTAGCTGTCTGTACTTTCCAACTTATTCACAGCTGGCAGAATCTAGGATGCTATGAGGCATGATTGAGGTTGCTGTTGCAGATTTGGCCTCCTCCTCGTGCTTAGAGTTCTAATGACAGTAGCCGTAATTAAATGTTGTGTGAGACAAATTCAGTGCCTTTAGTCTCTGCTCTTTCAGTCAAATTAATCAGAATGACTGGTGGAGTGGGATAGTCATAAGAAAAATTTCTAGCCGCTAACATGATATAGAACCATGGAGTGGATATTGTTGAATATCCACTAAGGGATAAGATTCTCTTGTAGGGGTGCAAGAGTCCACCGTGAGTCTCTTGTACCCCTATATGACCTGCTGGGTATGCCAATACTGTAAGGCCATGACCACTCTACCTGGACCACTTTTCAGAGTTACGCTTGCAGCAAGCAGCCTTAAGGGATGAGGTAATGCCTCCCTGTATGACAAAGAGAAAACTGGCTTACTGTTTACTGTTGCTAAAAATTTCCCAAGCTCAGAGTTCCTCAGCTATGATACAGCACCACTGCATGCAAAGTATTCATCAGCACTCACTATATCATTGTCTGGGGACTTAAGGGAAAGAGAAACTAAAGTGAACATACTAATGTTTAGGCTGTTTGCTGTGTCATAAGTAATAAAACGTTTGTCTCTGACTAAGGAGTCTCATGTCTGTACTGACAACCTCAATGAAACAACATGCTTATTAGCTTTCAGGAAGAGGAAAAAAATCCAAGCGCTGATTACCCCCTTCTCTACTATAGTAAAGGCTTGAACTACCTGTAAGAAAGATAAGTTTCTCCAAGCTAGTCTGAAACAGACCTTTTTTGAAGACTGTCATGTATACAAACCCATAGGTAATTAACCATCACTTCCAATAAACGCTTGAGCAATTTTCTAATATACTTTAATGAAATGACTCCTTCTGGGAAATTAGTGTTACCAACTGAAATGACTATTAATCTTGTGAGAAGTCTAATAGCCACTACACAGATAATCAAAGGCAGGGTAATTATGAACCAGTCCTTTGAACATAATGATCTGTAAACCAGATCTTTTAAAAATCTAATCTACAACATGTCTACTGTAGGGAGAAAACCCCGAAAATGCAGTGGCAAGGGTCTGAAGCCTCAGCCTGTTCCCATATAAATATTGATTTAGAAAAGAATTAGACATGTAGGCACATAGTTATCACTTTATATAATCTTATAGTTACTTTTAATCATAAAGATATATACTCAATAT